GTACTCGTACTGTTCTAGTTGCAAAGCTTTACACTTCTAATGTATGTGTTGTGGCATGTTATACATACAGTTTGAACGTCTGTTGATATCTATGGCTCAATATACTCAAAAATTGCACTTGTGCATGCTGTAGGTGACACACTTTCCCTGGTCAAGGTCTTCATGACATTCACCTCAATCCCGGACACACCCCTTATTTTGCCGATCATTGCTGGGGCGACTACCCTTCGCGATGTCGTTGGTGAAGATCCTATTGAGTGGAACTACAAGGACGTACGGATCTACTTTCATACCTTTCTTGTATTGCCTTCCGAAATTTATAAGAGATACGACTTAAACTTATCTTTGTGTTGGCCATTGCAGCTCATGCGCCGCCCCTGAAGCGTATCTACTGATTCACCCGTGTTAGTTGCCCCATTTGTCTTATGGAATGTATATCGTACCTGTTTTTCGCTGGATTGTATTGAGGCTGTGTGAACGATATGTGGAATGGATGCATAGACCATTGGATTTTTAATTCGTGTGGTGAACGATGTGGTTATCGATTGATGGATATCCGTACTTGCTTATTGTTAGGTTTGGTGTTTGAACTGTTAAGCCTGTTTTGCGGAACAGGATGTTGCTGTGTAGTGCTTGCTAGGCTTGTTTTATGGGTTGCTTTACTTCGTTGTTAGGTATGGAGATTGTCGAGTAAAAACTGTGGTGTCCATGTCCCTTAATGTCGGGATTCTTATGCATACTATGAATTAATGTTTGCAAGTATTGCCAATGATGATGTTTATATCATTATGTGTATATGGAATTTCTTTCATTATTGCGGAGATCACGGCAGGTCATTTTGTTACGCACAATTTCAATTGCAGTGTAACACCTGTTTTTTGTAGCATGATATTTCTGCGTAACAAAAGGATGAAATACCGTGACAAAAAGTGGTCATTGGATGTTTGTTGTTTCAGGTTGTTCCGTGACTAATGAAAAGTATATTTTTTTATTACGGGTTCAATGTCGTTACAAATATTCGTAACAAAAACCAAATATGACAAGCGATCACTGGAACGTTTTTGTAACGCGCCGACCTTTCGTAACAAATATCGTAACTAAAAGCTCTGACACACGCGCGGAAGGATCGACATTTGGTTACGAGAGGAAATTCGTAACAACCAGCGTAACAAAAACCCTGCTTTACGGAGCGTTGACCGACAGTAATAGTTACGAAAAACCGCGTGGCAAAAAACATTCGTTACGCGAGTACACATTGGAGAAAAGTCATAACAAAGGCGTAGCAAATACGCAAATTGCACGAAAAATGGCTTGTTGTTACGATTTTCCGGCCGTAGTAGAAAACAGTTTTTTTAGTAGTGTAAACACCAACTTTAATTTAATTGCAATTAATAGAATATCATCATTCTTGGTATCACCGGCGCACATGGATGACATATATGAATGCTAACTGCTTCATGACGTACCTTGCATCAACTTTGACCAAAACACAATTATAATTCCCTTAACATAATCTAGTTAGAAGGTTCCAAAAGGATTTTGTGCTACTTGGTAGATCCAAGACCCATTGCAAAAGTGACTCCTTAAACGCAATTTGACTTAGAATAACTAGCTAAGGTAGGTAGTAAATTGATCTCTCAATTAATCAGTAACAAGTGTCAAGGAGAACGTCTTGCCAAACATAAAAATAATTTAAAAATGGAACATTATAATTTAAGATTAATTTACCTTCCATGATTTCTTATAGGCTGGAATAAGTCATTGCGCTCACAAAGTACATTAGCAAGCGAAAGACATGTATAATCACTTGCAAACAACACTTTCCCGCACAATATTTATACATATATCGTGAATACTTTCATCCCTTAGAGACCATCTCTTCCTTTTTCTTGCACCCCTGTATACTTATCATCATCAATAATCATTAATCCACTTCACCCATAAACACCCTCGTGAGAATGCGGACTACATTCACAAACATTCATTCCCGCATCAACAGGTGAAAACATATAATGTAGTTTTTCATTTTTGTCATCAATTTAACATTTTAGTTTGGAAAATAATCACAATCCAATAAAGATTCCATTTTTCCTCTTTTCAATTTATTAAATTATGAAAAAAATTAATTTGAAATCCTATAAATTTAAAAATATTTCAAAATATATATAGTACAATTTCCATTTTTATTTTCATCCATTTTAAATTTAATTTGGAAAATAATGACAATTAATTTAAATTTTCATATTTCATCTTTTGGATTCTGAAAATTCTAATTTGAAATCCTGTGTATATAAATTATCACAACCCATGTAATGCAAATTTATAAAAGGTTCCATATTTAAAATTTTAATTTGGAAAATAATGACAGTTGATTAAAACCATATTTCTCTTTCAGTGTTTTAGAATTATGAAATATTTACTTTAAACTTCCGAAAATTTTAAAATATCTAATGCACTTCTCCATCTTTATCATCAATTTTAAATCTTAGTTTGTAAAATAATGACAATTTATTAAATAATTCATATTTTCTCTTTTTAATATTATAGAATTATGAAAATTCTAATTTAAAAACTGTAAAATTTTAAAATATCTCAAAATATATAATACAACTTTTCATTGTTTTTCATCACTCTCAGATTTAATTTTGAAAAATAATGACAATTTATTAAAGTTTCCATATCTCATTTTCAATAAAATCATTATGGAAAAATTTTAAAATCTTATAAATTTTAAAATATCTCAAAACATATAATGCACATTTCCAATTTTGTCATTAATTTTAAATTTTAGTTTGTAAAATAATGACAATTAATTAAAGTTTCCATATTTTGTATTTTCAATATTATAGAATTATGAAAACAAAATTAATTTTAAATCCTATAAATTTAAAAATTTCTCAAAACATTTAATATATTTTTCAATTTTTATCATTAATTTAAAATTTTAGTTTGTAATATAATGGCAATTTTTTAAGTTTCATATTTCTTCTTTTCAATCTCATTGAATTATGGAAAATTTAATTTTAAAAAAACTTATAAATTTTAAAATATCCTAAAAACACATAATGCATTTTTCTATTTTATCATCAATTTAAAACTTTAAGTAGAAAATAATGACAATTCATTAAAATTTTCATATTTTCTATTTTCTATTTCATAGAATTATAAAAAATTTAATTTAATATTTTGTAAATTTTAAAATATCTCAAATTATATAATTTAGTTTTATATTTATGTCATTAACTTTAAATTTTAGTTGTTATAAAAATGGCAATTCATTAAAGTTTCCATATTTCAAATTTCCAATTTTATAAAATTATGAAAATTTTAATTCAAAGTTCTACAAATTTTAAAACATCTCAAAGCGTATAATGTATTCTTTCATTTTTATAATCAATTTAAAAATTTAGCTTGTAAAATAATAACAATTTATTAAAGTTTTTATATTTTCTCTCTTCAATCTTTTAAAATTGTGAAAAATTTAATTTTAAACTTATATATTTGATGGGTTTGTTTGTTAGTTTTTCGAGTTGAAACATTTGTTTATGTCAAGTATTGTAATTGTGTCGGTAATATAAAATATAATATTTTATGTTGTATGTTGACTTTTGTGATATGATAAAATATATATATATATTAAAGTTGTGCCGGAGAAAAATTGTTGGACAAACAAACTAATAATATCTCGCAACATATAATGCATTTTTCTATCTTTATCATCAATTTAAAATTTTAATTTAAAACATAATGACAATTCATTAAAAATTCCATATTTTCTCTTTTCAATTTTATAGAATTATGAAACATTTAATATAAAATCTTGGAATTTTAAAATATTTCAAATCATATAATGGAATTTTCTATTTTTGTCATTAATTTTAAATTTTAGTTTGTAAAATAATGTCAATTCATTAAAGTTTTAATATTTTCTATTTTCAATCGTATAATATTATCACAAAATTAATTTAGAATATTGTAAATTTTAAAATAACTCAAATCATATAATGTAATTTTCATTTTTTCTCATCAATAAAAAAATTTAATTTGGGAGCATTAACAACATGTCGTTTTTAAAATTGATGCAATGTAAAATTTCAAATTAGTCAATGATATAAATATTTATGGTTGATACACTCACAAATTGTAATATTTATATAATAAAAAAATGAAAATAAAAATACAAGGTAAATATTAATCATGATTAAAAACCTGCTATATTTAACATAGTTAAGATAGCAATATATTTGCGTGCTGGTTGTCCCTTCATCTTCATCATTCTTTATATATATCTATAAAAACCCCACATCCACTCAACGCTTTTGTCGCCTGGCATTGTCTCGTCATCTCGATCTTCTGTCTCAACTTCAGATCTTTTCCATTTCTGAGGTTTTTGCTAATCTGAATTTTCTTGTCTAATTTATCTATGTTTACGTGATTTCGTCATCTTTGGTTGTTGTTTTTGTTGATCTGGGAAATTGGTTGTTCTCTTGTGCAGATCCATTCCTAATCTTGAGGTTGTGACCAATTTTCTGCAAATCTTTATAGGTTTTGGATTTGGAGGATTTTGAGTTAGGGCTATTTAGTTTGAGGTGAGATTCATTGTTTGATTAAGTTTTTGGCAATCCACACTTTGTTTGTTCTTCTTCTTCTTTTCGTTAATTGCAATATTGTGAAGGCTAAATTGAGTTTTTAGTTTGATATGTTTGGTAATTTCAAGCCAATAATAAGAGGATGTCTTTAGATATGTTCATGAAGCGTGCTTATATATATATATATAGTCTTTGTAAAAACCCCGTCACTCATCAACTTCTTGATATATGCACAATTATTCAACAAAAAAACACTAACTCCACAAATTTACAAAGACTATATATATATATATATATATAAAAGCACGCTTCATGAACATATCTAAAGACATCCTCTTATTATTGGCTTGAAATTACCAAAATGTTGATGGACAATACACTCCTGAAAATACGGCACAAGAGCCCGGCATGCCGGAACTAACACAGCGTAAGGATGGTGCCAAAACCAACATTAGCTGTAAACCCGTAAATCCATTGACCAATACTATCACGTAGAACCCCTCCTGCAGCAAGATAACCTGCACTCCCATCAACATGAATTTTGAGAAAACCCGGATACCACCTAACTAGGTGCCAATGATAGTTTCTACCAGGATATTGCAAGCTCCTAAACTTGCTCCAAGCGTCATCTTCAAACATAGCAAACTCGCGTAGCCACCTGCTAGCAAGTCTCGGTTGGAAACTCCGCCCTTGGAAGGTAGGTACGTCGGTTCCTCCAAATCCACAATTTTCAGCAAGTAATCGCAAAAAGGATAGCCCAAGGTGGACTTACCGAATCAACCTTCTTAGTCTGAATCAAATTCCTCTAAATCTAGCTCAAAAAAAATGCTCTTCTATTAAACCAGGATGACCCGACCCCTTCGAAGCTTCTTTCGCTCTATACCCCTTCGGAGGTGGAAGAAAGGGTACGGACAATTTCTCTTTCTATATAGTAGGGCCCCAGAATGCCAAAAAGCAAGAGTGGTCACGAGAAAAAAAGAAATGACTCTAAGGAACCAACGATTCTCTCTTCTTAAACAACCTATATCCTCCACACTTAATCAGCATTTGATAGATTATCCAACCCCGAGCAATCTTAGTTATTGGTGGGGGTTCGGTTCGTTAGCTGGTATTTGTTCAGTCATTCAGATAGTGACTGGCGTTCTTTTAGCTATGCATTACACACCTCATGTGGATCTAGCTTTCAACAGCGTAGAACACATTATGAGAGATGTTTCAGGGGGCTGGTTGCTCCGTTATATGCATGCTAATGGGGCAAGTATGTTTTTCATTGTGGTTCACCTTCATATTCTTCGTGGTCTATATCATGCGAGTTATAGCAGTCCTAGGGAATTTGTTCGGTGTCTCGGAGTTGTAATCTTCCTATTAATGATTGTGACAACTTTTATAGGATATGTACTACCTTGGGGTCATATGAGTTTTTGGGGAGCTACAGTAATTACAAGCTTAGCTAGCGCCATACCTGTAGTAGGAGATACCATAGTAACCTGGCTTTGGGGTGGGTTCTCCGTGGACAATGCCACCTTAAATCGTTATTTTAGTCTTCATCATTTGCTCCCCTTTATTTTAGTAGGCGCCAGTCTTCTTCATCTGGCTGCATTGCATCAATATGGATCAAATAATCCATTGGGTGTACATTCTGAGATGGATAAAATAGCTTTTTACCCTTATTTTTATGTAAAGGATCTAGTAGGTTGGGTAGCTTTTGCTATGTTTTATTCCATTTGGATTTTTTATGCTCCTAATGTTTTGGGGCATCCCGACAATTATATACCTGCTAATCCCATGTCCACCCCGCCTCATATTGTGCCGGAATGGTATTTCCTACCGATCCATGGCATTCTTCGTAGTATACCTGACAAATCAGGGGGTGTAGCCGCAATAGCACCAGTTTTTATATGTTTGTGGCTTTACCGTTTTTTAAAAATATAGATTTTGTGGAGTTAGTGTTTTTTTGTTGAATAATTGTGCATATATCAAGAAGTTGATGAGTGACGGGGTTTTTCAAATGTTTTGAGTCGCATGCTATCACCACATGTTCAAATCTAATAAGATGTTAATTGGTTGTAATGTCTCTTGTCACCAGGTGTCACTGCTGCAGGAGCACGTGACCTTTTAACTATAAGTTCTATAAAAATTAATCCATTTATCAAAGTAAAATGTGATTTTTTCTTTAGTTTGAGCATGTTGTTTTCATTTCTTTCAATTGCAAGTACCATTAAGTAGTTAAGTTTTTAACATTATATACTCAACTTAAAAAAATTGAAAAGAAAGAAGATATTATCGATTTCATTCACCTTTTGTCGCTGTATATTACTAATTTTATTTTATTTTTGATAGTTATTTAAGATTCAATTTTACATGTATTATTATCACATTTTAGACTCTATGAATTGATATTGACATTCTTGGTTGTAAGAATCCTCAAATTTTGTATCATGACCAGTGTGCAGGGGCTATTTGGTGGAAGTAAAAGATGAAGCAGTTAGGGACAATGTTGGAGCTGAGGAAATGTTGAGGCAAGAGAATTACGTTGAGGCAAATGCTTCATATCCGGAATTAGATGTCATCGCCCAAGTTTTGTGTACAACTGACGTCTATCTCTCTTCACAGAAGAAGGTCGATTGGTACAAGGTTCTTGTGCTACAACACCCTGCTCAATCGTGTTCAAGTATGCTTGGGACTTGATCTCCGACAGGGTGTTGTAGCACAAGAACCTTGTACCAATTCTTCTGTGAAGACAAATAGACATCAATTGTACACAAAAGTCGGGCGATGACATCTAACTCTTGATATAAAGCCTTTCCCTCGACATAATTCTCTTGCCTCAACATTTCCTCAGCTCCAACTTTGGCCCTCACAGCTTCATCTTTTACTTCCACAAAATAGCTCCTGCACACCGGTCATGATACAAAATTTTCGGATTCTTACAACCAAGAATGTCAAAATCAATTCCTAGAGTCTAAAATGTGATAATGTAAAACATGTAAAATTCAACCTTAAATAATTATAAACAAATAAAATTAATTTAATAACATATAAAGACAAAAGGTGAATGAAATAGATAGTATTTATTATTATTATTATTATTATTATTTTTTAATTCTTTTAAGTTGAGCATATAATGGTAAACTTAACTATTTAATGGTACATGTAATTGAAGAAATGAAAACCGCGATTGCTCGAACAATAGAAAGATAACATTTTACTTTGATAACTGGATTACTATTTATGGAACTTATAGTTAAAAGGTCAGTGTGCTCCTCCAGACACTTGGTGACAATAGACAATGCAACCAATTAACATCTTATTTTTTCTAAACATGTGGCGATAGCAGTCGACTCAGAACATTTGAAAAAAACCCCAATCAACAACTTTTTGCTATATGCACAAATCACAATTGTTCAACATAAAGAACAAAGTCCACCAGATTAACAAATACTATATCAATGAACATATATAAAGGGTAACTGGTGGCGGAACACGTTTTCCGAACTACGACATCAATGTCGCCGCCACTGAAGACGGGATAAGCCCACGTAACCCTACCCGGCTTCTGGTGCGCCGCCGCCGCCGCCGCCGCCCTGTGCTGCTGGTTTATCAACTGATTTTATGAAGCTGAAACGAAAATGACATTTTGTTGGTCTTCTCACAATAACCAATCCGTGGCGGCGTTGGAGATCCGATATATATATATACACACACATTAAAATCTACAGAAATAGAGAGAGGGAGACATGGAGATTGTGTAGCTGCTAGTGATTGCAATAAAAATAGAGATATTAATCAATAATTAATTAATAAATAAAAAGAATTGAAGAAAAGGTTGTAAAGAAAGTGCAAGTGGGTGGAATAGGCAAGTGGCAAAAACATCCAATCTATTGAACGACACGAGGTAGTGTAGGAGTGTTTGTCTAGTGGAAAGTTGAAATATTTCATGTGATTATTGTTTCAATCCTCGATTTTATTTGTAAGCAAACCTACGGGGTTGTTACTTTCTTTGATGTATAATGATTTATTTTTAAGGGCGAGTATGTTCTTTTCATTTTTTTATTTGTGAGGTGTTTTAATTTGGTAAGTTTTGGAAAGAGGAGAGGAAAGGCCAATGTGCAAAATTTAGGATGCCTATGCAACTTCCAACATCACTCACATTGTAACAAAATTGAAGATAATGTTGATATTGTAGATGATTTGTTTGTTTTTGCTTTAAAATCAAAGACAATGTACAAAATAGTATATAAGCATACAACATTGCCATAAATCACAATAAACCTTAGTTGATGTGGTTACATTTGATTCGACTTGAATTTCTACAATGCCCATTTTCAGGTCATACTCAAGTCTTTTCGCCTTGCTGGAGAACAATCCCCTAGCAGCTTGAATTAACTGTAAGGGACCTTTGGCGCAACAGAGCTGTTTTTTTTCTGGATGCAGCATAAGTGCCAACCTCCTGTTCCGCTTTCTAATGACATCTTCTGCATCCGATGGATTCACACCAAAGAGCTTGACCAATCAACCTCTGAAAACATGGATATAAAGGCATACGCTAAAAATGAAATTTATTGATTAGTCAAACATATGCCCATTAGAGCGAATGAATTAGATATCCAATGGGATTAGCAAAGCTTACCATCATTTCTTTCCACAGTGGTCCGAGTTTATGGGTTCAAATCAGACAACTTACAGTTTTCAAACTTACTTTCTTTCTGTGTGTCAAAAGTCCGGCTCACCCTTAACCAAATACTTCCACCATTTCATTTGATTTTGTTTTGTCAAGAGAATTGAGACAGATTTCTGGTCCTCTACAAGGATTTGAACTAAGTAACATTCCACAATGTCGTTTTCACATTGAAGTTTAATTGGCAATTTTCCTGCATAACAATGAGGTTGAGATCATTAAACATGCATAATCAAATAGTTCAAAAAATTACTGGGTAGTCATATCAGAGCCACAAATGTATGTCATGGCTCATTATTAGTATAAGCTGCAAAGTAATCCATACTCCATGGCTAAAAATAACCTCAGGTTCTATTTCTGAATATAGAGCATTTGCTTGCAACACTAAATCCTTGCCTCGGCATAATTTTGTTGTGATGGAAGATAATTATTTTATTCAATCGAAAATAAGCACAATACTGGACAGAGCCAGTCCTAGGAACAGCCGATCTTATCTTATTCGTCTGGATAAATCTTAACCACAAACTTGACTCCTTATTTATTCTAACCATAGGGACCAACTCACAATTAACTCTTATTATTAGGACTAAAAAGGAAAGCTAAATACTTATAAAATAAGGACTCAAGACAAGTCCACAATTAACCCAAAATGGGTTCTCCTTTGTTTGCCCCGTCGGGTGTACACCCGAAGTGTAATTGGATTGTCTCTAACATCTTGCATCAACATTTCCTCAGCTCAAACTTTGTCCTTCACAACTTCATATTTATGTTGTTCCATCTTAGAGTAGAGTCCGACCAAGTAGCTCCTACAAACTGGTTATGATAAAAAATACATATATTAGAATTTTTACAGCCTAGAATTTTAAAATCAATTCTATCCGAGAAGCTATTTGCTCAAATTAAGAATGAGAAATCACTTGTTGAACGAAAGGAACTGAAACATGAGAAATATACTCAACTAGAGAATGTTTAACTGTATCTCATCTACTATATATCAAACAATTTTGTAATAATATGATATTTTTAAAATATCAGTTAAGGGGGATTTTTTTCTTTCAAGAATCACTACCAAAAAAAGGTCTTTTGGTAACGGGTTAATGTTCCGTAACAATAATCTCGTCACAAAAAGTAGTTTATGTTACGATTTATGTCAAACAAAAAAAACGGGCGGTGGTCAACCTTTTTTTTTCTTTTGTTACAAAAATTTATCCGTACCAAATACAATTTTGACAAAAAGTTATCTTATATATATTTGTTACGTGGACCGACCGTAACAAAAAAAATAAGTATTATAAATTAAAAAATTTCTGAAAATTAAATCTAAAAATAATTTAAAAAATAATTAAATACAAGCTTGTCATTACTTAATAAATTATTAAGGGAAGTTTTTTTAAATTAAAATAAATTCAATATAAAACTTATTACTAAAAACAAAATAAAAAATAAAAAAGCGTCAATGCGCTTTTGTGTCTTCAACCAACGTTTCATATACAATAAATCAAATCAAATTATTAAGTGTTTCTCTCCCTAGACGAATTTACAGAGAAGCCTCAGACTCGAGCCTCCGTTGCCTCCACCCTCGCTCCGCCGTCGCCTCCACCTTCGCGCCGCCGTTGCTGGTGGAAGGCAGCCCAAAATTCACCCTAAGCTAGCGACTTTCATCACCTAGGTTTCAAGGCGGTCGTTCGGGCTACGTTCTAGGGCGCAAATTCGACGGGTGAGTTAAAACGATTTGTTAACCCAACGTATTTGTGTGTTTGAGGATTTTTTATATAGTATAATACTCATCTACTTGATGTTCATTTCTTCGATTAAGTTTTTGCAATGTAGATTTTTGGATTTAAAACCTAGGTTTTTCATTGACTGCGTAAAAATCGATTTTGTGGCTTTTGGATATCTTTATGGTTGAAATTTTTTCGTACCTAATTACACAAATGTAATGGGTATAAAAGAAGTGGTATCAGGGCTTCCTCAAGTTTTTGGAGGGAATTACTGTAATGTTTGAATTTTTGGAGGGGATTAGCATAATTTGTTTTCCTGCGCTCTTGTCCTTCTCGCCGCCTTGTGACGGGGTTTGAATCTGTAACGGCACCTACCGGGATTGATTGTGTTGTGCACGCAGAGGAAGGGGACTTTCTTTTTGGCGAGGATTTCAAGAATTTCGAGGATTCGTCTGAAAGTAGTGATGATGAGGGGGAGTTTCTGGACCCGGAGCTTTGGAAGAATGAAGTGATGCTCAGTTGTGATTCAACTGTGGATAGCGGTGTCTGTTATGTTTATTTGGTTGGAACGTCTCATCCTTCGAAGGGATCTTGCCAAGAAGTTGAAGCTGTGATTGATTTCTTGAAACCAGAGGTTGTTTTCCTGGAGTTATGCCCTGCTCGTACATCTCTTTTTAAGGTTCCAACAATTGGAGAAATGGTGCAGATGTGGAAGAGAAA